AACGGCTCAGTTCAACTCGTCTGTGAGAAATATTCTTCATTCAATTCGTCTGTGGGAAATAGACTTCCTCCAACCCTTTTGTAAGAAAAAGACTGCCTTCAGCTCGTTTATGACACAAAAACTCTAATCGATCCGTATGTGACGCAAAGAATCTATACATTTCGTCTATTCAACAAAGACTCCACTCAGCTTGCTTATTACACAGTTCCCTTCAGTTTGTTCAAGAGAGAAACTTCCAAAGACTCATCTCGTCTATGACACACGACTCCCTTCAGCTCGTCTAGGACAATAATAATACCTTCAGCACGTCCCAGAAAAAAATACTTCCTTAAACATGTCTCCTCAGTTCCTCAGCTCGTCCATGAGAAAAGTACTCCCTTAAACTTTTCTTCGAGAGAAACACTTTCTATACCCCATTTTCGGAAAAATATTACCTTCTGCTCTTCTGTGAGAAAAAAAAAACTCCCTTCAGCTCGTCTATGACACAAGAACTCCATCAGCTCGTCCATGAGAAAAATACTCTCTTTAACTTGTCTTTGGTAGAAACACTTCCTATGCTTCATTTTCGGAAAAAAATATTTCCTTCAGGTCTTCTGTGAGGAAAAAAACTCTTCAGATCGTCTATACCACAAAGACTTCCTCAGCCCGTCCATGAGAAAAATACTCCCTTCAACTTGTATTCGAAAAAAAAAAAACGTATCCTATACTTCATTTTCGGAAACATATTACCTTCAGCTCGTCTGTGAGTAAAAGTCTCCATTCAAGTCCTCGACTAAAAAAAACAAGACTTCCTTCTGCCCGTCTATGTATGAAAAAATTGAAATTGAAAATTTTTCCCTTCAGCTGAGATCAGATTACATTCCATTCAACTGCCCTTTTATTAGCACACAACTTGCTTTAGCCCATCCATGATGAAAAGTACTCTCTTTAACTCGTCTATGAGAAAAAGACTAACCTCTATAAAAGCATTCCCAGCTGCGAATGGCTCCTTCAGCTCGTCTCTGAGAAAAAATTTCCCTTCAGCTGAGAATAGATTCCATTCCATTCCCTTTATTCCATTCCATGTCCCTTTGTTAGTACACAACTTGCTTTAGCCCATCAATGATAAAAAGTGATCTCTATAGCTGAAATTAGTTTCTGTTAAGTTCTTTTCAACCTATCAAAATTTCCAGATTTCACAATGACTAATCATTTTGATTAATCAATTTAACTAATGAAAGTATTGTCCATATAATAGGTATTCAATTGAAGTTGATTATTTTCCATTGATAAGCAATTCAGTAGACATAGCGACCCACATGGATCATGACTTTTCAAATAGTTGTTGTTTTTAACAGATAAGAAGCTTTTCCCAAAAGATTGCCTACCCCGAAACAGGTAAACACACATTCAACGATAAAAAAACTCAATAGATTATATTAGAAAGCATTTCGTTTTAGTTTCACAATTGCTAACGTATCGAACGATTCTAAACGGCGCGTTACTGAAATTTTTAAAATCGATCTATAAGCGTGACAATGAATAATATTCCCACGCGTAATTTGCTATTGCTGCTGGCAGCATTATCATTATGTTGCCTCATTGAAAATGCTGAGTCGGCAAATATTTTAGCCCTGCTGCCATCTTCTAGTCCTTCGCATGTAATCTTTGAAATATCGGTGGCCCGACAAATGGCCATGCGACATCACAACGTAACAATTATATCGGTGTTACCACTGAAAGAAGACTGGTTACACCCCTCTATGAAACATTTAAAACTTGATAAGGGCCTATTGGATATGACAATGGCTGTGAATTCGACACAATACAGTGGCTTGGCACGAGTTAAAAGTTTCATGGAAATGTACAAAACTATGATTGTTGGCCAAGGAGATATTTTGGATGATCCCAAAATGAAGGAATTAATCTATAATACTGGCAACAATTTCGATTTAATACTTTGGGGTTACTTTGCTGGTGATTACTTTTTTGGTTTAGCTGAACACTTCGACTGTCCCGTTGCTCTGTTATGGCCAAATATACCCATAATAGCCATATCAAATCTTATGGGCAATCCCATTGAAATGTCGTATACTGTTACGACAATGATGAATATGGCAGCGGATACAACGGGATTCGGGTTTCGTTTAAAAAATGTATTGGCAAACGCTGTGGAATCTGTGCTGACTCAATTGCGTGATAAATGGTCGAAACCTATATATGAGTGAGTGTTTTAGATGATCTTAAAAATCTTTCTGAAAATCGGAAATAACGTTAGTAGAAATATGCGTATAGTAATTGGTTCGAAAGATCTATTGCATTAATACTGACTGTGAGAAAAATAGAATTGGACAAAGAAGCATAGACCATTAATTTAAACATTCAAAGACGGCGAAAATGTAAATATTGACGAGGAATACAAATAATGTGTGAAATTTTAAATTATGGCAAATCGAGTGACCTAAAGATTTTTTAATCTTAAATGTAACATAACATATTCGAAGTGTCAATTCCAATCAATACTACATACAGGGTGAGATAAAAAAACTGTAACAAAGTCAAACGGCATAATTTTTAATTTTTTTTAATTTGATTAAATGAAAGCGAAAAAAGTCGGAAATAGCATCAAATTTTGGAATATGCTTAGATTTCTCCAAATTAGTCAACAATGGCAAGAATTATGGCCTTCAAACGGTCAATGAAACGATCGCACGCTGCCCGAATGTTGCTTGCGGTATTTTGGCCCATTCGCGGCGAAGCGCTTGCTTGAGGTGATCTTTAGTATTTTTTTAGTGCCAGCCTTGCTCTACAAAATACTCCAGACACAATAGGCCAACGGAATGAAGCGAGGAACCTCATTTTGTAGCTATTCTTGGGTGGCACGTGCTGAGTGCGATGGTGCTGAGTCCTGTTGGAATGTCCAAGGTCTGCTGCCAAAATGTTTGCGTGCCCAAGACTTTAATACACCCTCCAGAATATTTTCGCGATAATATTCAGCATTTATTCTGAAGCTACGGTCGATTGATATGAACGAAGACCATGGGCTGTTATGGCGGCCCACACCATTACCATGGCCGGCGCTTGAGTTCTGGTGGCCAACCGAAGGTGCACATTTTCAGCTGACCTCTTTGGCAAGTAAACAAGACTAACGAATATTTTCTCATCAGAGAAAACCAAATTCGACAGTTCACCACTTTCGACCAAATTTAGCTCTTTTGAGTCTACTTTCTTTCTGCAGCGCTCTGAGTTCTTGCACTTTTTGAAATTTCAATGGCTTTACCCCGAGCTCATTTTTCAATATATGCCGAATGGAATATTGCAATATGTCCAGCTCACAAGCCATTTTTCGGCCACTGCGACGCGATCGTGTCGCTTCTATACTTTTCGAACCATTTCTGCTGATGTTGCTGTTTTCTTCCGCCTACTTCCTTCGGGCTTCGCTACCAACGAGCGATGATACGAGGCAAAAAAGATTTATTCACTTTTAAATGCTGGAGTGCTCTAACGATAGCCACTTGTAGTTTTCTAACCAAATATATAGAAATCACACTATCACGCTTGAATTCCATTACGAATAATTCTCACCGAAATACTGTCACTGGCATAATTTTAACAGCTGTCGGACGAGTGACTTAGAAATGACAGCAGTTTGAAGTTTTTTGCAGTATAGAAAATCGACGTGATCAAGTCGCTTCTTTACTTTTCGAACCATTTCTGCTGATGTTGCTGTTTTCTTCCTCCCACTTCCTTCGGGCTTCGCTACCAACGAGCGGTGATACGAGGCACAAAAGATTTATTCACTTTTAAATGCTGGAGTGCTCTAACGATAGCCACTTGTAGTAGTCAAATATATAGAAATCAAACTATCACGCTCGAATTCCATTACGAATAAATCTCACCGAAATGCTGTCACTGGAATGATTTTAACAGCTGTCGGACGAGTGACTTAGACTGTATAGAAAATCATGCTGATTGGCCCCTCATAATTGAGGGGCAGAATAATTTCAGAATTGTCAAAGTTTATTACTCTTTTCTATCTTTTCGCTATTACCATAGCACCTCAAATTGTGCGTTAGAATCCCCATAAAGTCTATATTTTTGATCGTGATAAAATTTGATGACGATTAAAAAATGTCCGTCTGTTTGTCCGCCAATCAACAATTATATCGGGACTATACCAAAATATGTACATTTTAGGATGGTACTCTACCCCCAAAGCCAAACCGATTGGAACGAGTGATCAAGGCCCACAAAATATGGAAATTCAGAAGGTACCTTTATATGACCACTACTCCGAAACAGTGACGTACATTGAAGATAGAAGACGGAGACGGTTTCTACCCCCTTAGAAGCCAAGATGCCAATTAAGAGCCAAATCAATTGAAAAATGTGACCAAGACCTCTTTATATGCGGGTTATACCAGAAACTGGGCCTATACTCATAATTTTTTGAATTTGGATGTTCTCTTCCTTCTAAAAATTCATATTACCAGAATTTCTCGATATTAATCTCAAAAATATGACTAAAATACATAAAATACGGGAAATCAGGAAATACACTCATACCAAAACGTTGACCGACATGTACAAAAGATCTTACATGCAAGCGAGAGGACTGCATCAAATTTAAAATTATATCGTAAATTTTGCTAGGTATATTTGAGGCCCATTATGTATGTTTAAGGCTATGTGATGGGCCCTGAAAAAGTTTGACCTGGGAAACTATAATCCTTTTGAGATTTTGAATTATTAACCGGATACTATCCACTTCGAATATTTCAACCCCCAGAATAGCTGTCCTCACTTTCGTATCACAGTACCTGCGCTTTAAGTATCTTAAGGTTTCGGAAGAATTTTTGAAGGATATGATTACTTCTCTTACTAAAATTTTCAACTTACTCTACAATAGTCCGCATATTGCAGTGTCTCTTTATATTTGATTGCAGTCCCAATGAATTTTGCATTTTGATTTCTCATTTGACGGATTATTGACCTATAAAAGAAGTAGGTGCATGTCTTGATATGAGCTCCATACATCTGTGTTGGCCATTTTTGTTTATTGGAATGTGTTAGCATCTGTCAGCTGAAGCTATTTAAAAACAAGTAAGCAAAGGCTATAGTCCTGCGGGGCCGACTATGTTATATGCTACAACACTGCAGTATGTTAGAAGCCCCCTTATGTCCAAATCCATATGGAAGATTTCGCCTTTGAAATTAGGATTTTGACTAGGGACATTTGCCCAATATTTATGCACTCCGTCGTGCTGTAAGTTGTTGTAACCCATTTTATAGCTAAATATAATCCAGTGATCATCCAAAATGCTAGAATTCTTCCCTGTCCTTAACTCTCTTCACAGTTTGAATTGTGTGATAGGAAAAACATTTCTGTTTTTGGATAATTTGAACCTCTAAATATTTTCCAATCATCTCCAAAAGCAATCTTCAAATTTAGACATATCTATATGATTTGCTTGTCTACGATGTTTGGCTATATTCGTCAACGAAATTAGTATAAAAAAAGTCATAAGTTCGCCTTTTCTGTATTTCGGATATCGCCTGTAAGTAATGCCGGTGTTTTTTCACACAAAACTAGTCGTCCATTGTACCCGCTGTCCTAAACTCTAACCTTATGCGAGATTTAGTATCCTCTGGTTTCTATTTGTGACCTTTATAACGACTGTAAAATAAGGAACACTTTTAGTTTTTTCTGAATTGACAAATTTTGTCAAAATCCGCCCAGCCATTCTTGAGACATAAGCACTCTAACTAACATCCCCTTCCTTTGTATATACACATTGTATATATTTCGCTATATATAACCGATATATTTACTGTCGGCATCTACGTAACGGTCAGAATTCACCTGTTCGTCTATTTGTGATTTCGCCGGGATTAAAAATATTCGCGGTTTAATAGCAAATTTGACTTTTATTTAACAGAAATGTTGTAGCCTATTTCACCCACTAAATATTACCCGACGACGAAGGCTTCTGCCTAGCCCTAAGCTATAGCCCCATGCTAACTTTCGCTTTGATTGGTCTATAATTGCGACCTGTAGAGCAACTGCAAAATCAGGATTTTTTTCAGTTTTTGGTCCATTTCAACCCCTAAATATTTTGCGATCATCTCCAAAAGAAATAGGGTTCCATTCTGACCTTAACCCCACCTCCATTCTAAATTTCGTGAAGATCGGGCCATAATTGCGACCTGTAGAGTGACTACAAATTAACATGGACGGACGGACGGACATACATTGCTAGATCGACTCAGCTCGGCGAGATAGGAAGATCCATATATACTTTCCTATGTGGGAAATCAATATTTCGAGGTGTTACATAATTTTTGGCCCAATCAAACTTATAATACCTCCAACACATAGTGTTGAAGGGTATAAAAAAACCTTTCAAATGAAACCCCTTATATGGGGAATATACAAAGATAATTATTATTAATATATTATTATTACCATTATTACGAGCTTCAGGTACGAAATAATGTAGCTTAAAACATCAAAATTCTAAATATCGGGAAGTATCATTAAATGAGGGTATACGAAGACGTGGACCTGCATGCGCGATTTTTTGTTATAGCCTGTAGTACCTATTGTGAACTTTTCGTTATTTTGAATATAGCAGCAACATTTTCCATTCTTTGTTTTTAATTTTTTTAATGTTGTTCGCGTGTGAGGAATATAAAAGAATTATTGGACCTACATTCTCCATTTTTACTCTAGATATGGACCCAGTCACTTACAAATTTTAGGATATGAGAAGTCCTAAACATATCGGATACTTCCTTTGAGAATTATCATGCAATCTTGTCTATATTGAGACCAAATGTCCTCCAACGAACTTCGTCCAAAGAGACATGAAGTTTTATACCGTGATTTCGATGAGAAACAAGGGTGAAATCATAACAGAACTGTCCATTTAAATTGCAAATACTAAGATAAGTCCTAAAATAAAACAAACAATAAGCTCAATCTGGGAGGAAGATCAAAATGTTATAGTAATATTATAATGCGATAGAATTGAACTTAATCTGACACTCTATTCATTTTATGTTCAAAATATGGGTTTTCAAATTGATTAGTTTTTTTAAATGATAACAAATTGACCAGATTTTACTAAGAACTATTGAAATGAACTTTAGTGAATATAATTACATAGATATTAAAAAAATTAAAAACTCAATATCTTCTTTCAGAAAATATTTCCCAAGCGATAAATATGTCAGCTATGAAAAAGCCAAAGAACGTGTCTCCTTAGTCCTGTTTAGTCATCATTTTTCCGAAAAGCCTGTGCGTCCATTAGTACCTGGCATGATTGAAATTGGAGGTATTCATTTGGACGAAGAAACTAAACCATTACCCAAAGTAAGATCTACGCTAAAAATTACCTCAAGTTTTGTATTCATTTTCTATTTTCGTTTTCAGGACATTAAAGAATTTGTCAGTTCCGCTGAACATGGTGTGATATTCTTCAGTTTGGGCACAAATGTCAAAGCGAAACATCTCCAACCTCAGACATTGGAAAAAGTCTTCAATGTACTCTCGAAATTACCACAAAGGGTTTTATGGAAATGTGACGATGAATCGAATGTACCGGGAAATTCAACGAATATACTCTATCGAAAATGGCTGCCACAAGCCGATATTTTGGGCCACCCCAAAACGGTGTTGTTCTTCTGTCACGGTGGCAAGGGAGGCATAACAGAGGCGAAATTTTATGGTGTTCCCATGGTCGGCTTACCGATATTCGGTGATCAACCCATGAACATGGAAGAAGTTGTAATGAAAGGTTATGGTCTGTCAATAGAGCACGACGAGTCGTTAACAGAGGAAGTGATTCGGAAAACAGTTAAAGAAGTTCTAGAAAATACATCGTATAGAAATAGTGTCAAACAATTCTCGAATCTTTATCGTGATCGTCCTTTTAAAATCAAGGATAATGCCGTTTATTGGTTGGAATATGTAATTCGTTACAAAGGAGCTCCGCACATGCAAAGTCCATTGAAGACAATGTCGTTTGTAGAGGCCAACAATTTGGATGCCTACGCTTGTATACTTTTAGTGTTTTACTTAATTGCTTTATTGGTTAAGCTCATTTTGAGACTAATTATTAACCTAGTATGCCGCAAATGGATGGGCAAATCGAAGAGAGATTAAATCCAATATTTGGAAATATTTGTAGAGAGCAATTTCTTATAAATGTACATTATGATATTAATATATTTTTGTTTTTGTTAGTTATTCCTGAGCTGATTTTAACAATTCCCTCCCATTCTGAATGACCTCTTGCCAGAAAAGGATAAATTCTAAGAAAATCGTGTAAAAATATACCAATGAAAAGTGAATATTTCCTTTATATTTTTATTTTATTTTTATCGGATGAGGTTTTTATCAATTTTACTTAAAAAAGGTCTGTTCCAGAACTGCAAGAATCTAAAAGTTCTTAATACAATAACCGATTTTCTTTTTATGATATCGAAAAAAATTGCCAAACCTAGGAGATTCTTGCAGATTCTGAAACAGAGCAAATATTGAATTTTACATTTTGGAATATTTTTTCATCCTAAAATACTATGTGTTGATGTTATTATATTCAGGTTGCAATCATCGTCCGATCTTCACGAAATTTTCCATGGTTGGGGTCAGAATTGAATCCTATTACTTTTGGAAATGATCGCAAAATATTTACGCGTTCAAATGGACCAAGAATATTAACATTTTTTGACTTTGAAGTCGTTCTAGAGGTCACAATTAAAAACCAATCGACACGGAATTTTCCATGAGAAGAGATTTAAGGACCGGGCAAAAGTTTAGCATTTAAAATGATCATTACATTACAGGGTGAGATAAAAAAAACTGAAACAATGTCATTATTTTCATATATATTTTTACATTTTATTGAATGAAAGCAAAAAATTTCAGAAATAGCATCACATTTTAGAATGAGTTTAGATTTGTTCGAATTGGCTACCTTTGACACGAATTATGGCCTTCAAACGGCCAATGAAACCGTCACACGCTGCTCGAATGTTGCTCTGCAATATTCTGGCCCATTCCCGGCGAAGCGCTTGCTTGCTGTGGTGATCGACACTTTGGTATTTTTTAGTGCCAACTTTGCTTTCCAAAATACTCCAGACACAATAGTCCAACGGATTGGTATCCAGAGATTTTGGTGGCCATTGTGCGCTGGACCTCATTTTGTAACCATTTTTGAAAGGCGAGTGCTGACTGCGATGGTGCTGAGTCCTCCTGGATTGCGACCAAAATGTTTGCGTGCCCAAGGCCTTAATATACCCTCCAGAATATTTCCGCGATAATATTCGGCATTTATTCTTATGCCACGGTCGATTAACACGAGCGGGGAGCGACCATCGGCTGTTATGGCGGCCCACACCATCACCATGGTCGGCGCTTGAGTTCTGGTGGCCAACCGAAGGTGCACATTTTTATCTGACCTCTTTGGCAAGTACACTATAATTTTGTTTCTTTACAAACTGCTGGGCAACGAATGTTTTCTCATAGGAGAAAACCAAATTCGGCAGTTCACCACTTTTGGCTTAGCAAAGCAACTCTTTAGCTCCTTTGAGTCTATTTTCTTTCTGTTGCGGTGTAAGTTCTTACACTTTTTGGTATTTCAATGGATTTATATTTAATTATGGAATATCGCGACATGTTCAGCTCACGAGCCATTCTCGGCCACTGCGACGCGGGTTTCGATCAAATCGCTTCTTTACATTTCTAAACATTTCTGCTGATGTTGCTGTTTTTTCCATCCACTCCCTTGACATCGTGCTACGCTACCAGTATCACACATTTTAATGCTGGAGTGCTCTAACGATAGCCACTTGTGGTTTTCCAGCCAAATATAAAGAAATTACACTATCACGATTAAATTCCATCACGAATAACGTTTTTTCTGGAAAATTCTCACCAAAATGCTTTTGTACGCTTGTAAACAATATAATGAGCTGTTACTGGCATAATTTTAACAGCTGTCGGACAATTGGCTTTGAAATGGCAGCAGTCTGAAGTTGGTTGCAGTTTTTTCATCTCACGCTCATCCGTTTAGCCCAATGGCATCAAAATTTCGGTCGGTATCTAACGAGTCATTGCTTCAATGTTGTCTTCCAATACTTCAAATGGCGTATTGGAAGGCTGGTCTGTGTAGACATAAGCGTCAACATAGTCCCATAAAAAGTCATTTGTAAAGGGATTAAATCTCATGATATATCGGCCAGAAACCAACCCCGTATGTGAAAGAAAATGTTCACAAAACTCACCTTTCCATTGTTACACGTGACATCGTTTTTTGAAACCAAATGCCATTCTGAAGATTCCAACCACAATTGGCAACCAAATAATCAGTATTTTTATATTCCAAACTTCAAAAATTGATAATTTTATTGCTTATTCCTGAAATTTATAATGGATACTTCTTAATTAAATTTTACATATTTAATGAATTTCATTTTTTATTCATATGTAATGCCCTCTTTAACTCGGTGGAGGCTTTTCCAACATATTCACCAGCTGTCAACACCTGTTTGCCAACAAAGTGCTACATTAGAAAAAAATGAGAAAAACACTTCAGTTTTGTCATCTATCAGCCAAAAAATATGTTGTTCCAATAAAAAAAAACGAAAACTTACTGCATTTCTTGCAAGAGATGCAAGAGTACGACTACCTGATGCTGCCATGAAACCACTAAGTACCAAAACTAAAAATAATAAATTAAACTTCATTTTAAGTTTCACGTTCTCTGTTAGGTATTCTCTATTAAACACACACACACGTTCGATGTTTGTATGAAGACTAATAATTAATTGATATTTTTCAATAGCTTTTATAGGCAATTGCAATGTGGTTAAGAGTATTTATTTTAATAGCAATATTGAATCATTATCCATTTAAAATGTATTGAGTTAAATAAATGCAAATAATGATATACATGTAATATAAGAATTAAAAGATTGCGATACCATAATAGGAGAAATCTTGTATGGGATGAATAAAACAATTTATATAAAGATTTTCGGGCGAATCACAAAAAAAGTTAACATTTTTCTACAATTTACAGGATTCTAAAATAAAAAACAATTTTATCGGAACTACAAATACATATTACGATTTCCGGAATTTAAACAAATGTTTCTTTGAAAAATTTTACTTCAATTGGATAGATATTATAATTGCGGACAAATATGGTCCATCTTCGATAGAGCCGAGTTTGGATACTTCCTTTTGGAATAATCTAAGCCAGTTAAAAAGGCAGATGTAAATATTTTGAAACGGAATTCGGAATACTTTTAATATAAATGTCTTCTATATTTATAATAGATGAAAATGTTTGTACGTTTGATTGTTTATTTGTAATTTATAGACTCAAAAAGTGTTAAGCAGCTTTTCCTGAAAATTTCCATAACACTACAGTATCGCCTGAAAGTAACATAGGAGGTAGTAACATAGGTGGCCGGAGGTACATCCAGAAGATTTAGTTTTTGAATGCACATATATATTTATCGATTTTAGATGCAGTCTCCAAATTTCAAATGCGTAACGGAATTTGAAACAAAAATAAATTTGCCAAATTATACTGAAATCGGCTCAGATTTGGATATACACTGGTGGCCAAAACTAAAGCAACTAAAATCGCAAAGACAATAAATGTCCTGTAACTTTTACAAAAATAAACAAAACGTAATTATTTTTCCAGTTTTAAATGAGGTCTTTAACTCACTTTTAAGAAACTAAAAATAAAAATTCAAAAATAATTTTGAACGAAATATAATATATGGAAAACTAAAATGACCTAATTTTTGCTTGGTCAAAACTAAAGCAACTTTTAGATTTTTTATTTTAAAATAATTAAATTTTGGCTAGTAGTCGATAGCATCCATTATTTTTCATAGCACACCTACGAGGCATAGAATCTATAACACGCTCAATTTGATCCTTGGGTATGCTTTCTCAGGCACCCCGAATTCTTTGTTTCCGAATCTCGCTTGATCTTCCTGTCTACGATACTCCAAAGGCTTTCTATGGAGTTTATGTCAGGTGATTGTGCCGGCCATGACAAAACAACGATTTTTGACTCCCGCAACCAATATATGGCAAGTTTTGATGCAAGTTTGGGATCATTGTCATGCTGAAACACCCAAATGAGCCGAATATTTTACTCAGGGTAAGGGAACAACGTGATGTCCAACACTTCTTTGTAAACAAACCGATCCATAACTTCCTTTCTTTCATGGAAAGGCCCAAGTCCATAGAAAGAAAAACAGCGCCACGCCATTTTTGACCCTCCCTCATGCTTCACTGTACTTTTGCAACACTGCGGCCTGAGTCTTTAATTTTTTGGTCTTCTCACTATAAAATTTTTTACGTCTGAGCTTTTAATATTAAACGTAGACTCATCCCAGAAATTATGTTTTTCCATTGAGCTGGATTCCACTTAATATTAGCGTTTCCGAAAGCCTTTTTGATTTTTTAGATATAAATGGCTTTTTTGATGTCTTACGGGCATGCAGACCAGCTACCACTATTAGCATAGACAAATTAGGTATAGACTAAAAAGTTGTCTCATCAGTTATCTCTGAAAAAAGTGTTTCATTAGATGTCGTTCATGCTGTGAGAGAGGTTCAGTAGACTCGCTCAATTCTCTCAAAATACAAAATATTAAATATTTTTATGATTCTTTATTATTTATCAACTAAAAACGAAACGTCGACTTTGTTTACTTTTACATTATACAAATATGTCGTGAAATATAAAAATATAGAACTTAAATAGCAGAAAAATTAATGAATTGTTTTCGAAGTCGAGTGACTTCGCTAGCCCTGAGTGACTTGACTGGCCCAAGATCAACAATAGTGACATCTGCCGGAAGGGAAAATTTTAAAACTTTTTAGTCTATACCTTTATTTGTCTATGCTATTAGTCTACGCACTGATCTCGAGCTTATATCCAATGATTGCTCTCTCACCAATCCAGTTGAACTCTTAAATTGTTTTTTTTTTATTTTTCTCACAATTTGTTGATCAGTACGTGCTGAAGTTTTTCACGACCTTCATCCAGTTTAATAAAACTGATCCAGTTTAATAAAACCGACTTAGTATACAGAAATATTTATGAAATCACATAAATATTTATGAAATATTTCTCGGAAATCATTTTCTGCGATATGTTGTTTTTATAGTCAGTGATAATTTGCAGTTTAATTCATGTACTGTGTTTGCTTTTATCCATTTTTAAAGTTTTTTGGGCAGTACTTAAAAAACGAAAAGAAAAACACATGCTGTTGTAAAAAACTTCTGAAAAAGGATTTATGACAAGCGAAATTGTCGAA